GTCTGGGGGGTTGTGCGACGTGGATGGCCGCTGCCGTTCAGCTGGTCCCGCAGCGGCCGGGAGGGTCCTTTAAAGTCACAGCCAGGGGCTGGCAGAGGAGGAAAATCCAACTCCAAGGCGCCGAAACGGTTGGACATGGTTAGGCTAGGTGGAGGAGATCGGCGGCCACCGCCCCGCGTACCCCCACCTTGACCGGACCCAACCTTGACCCATGCACCCTGGAGCAAGGGAGTGGAGCTGAGGGGGGCTTTCGGCTTTGCCCCCAGCTGGAACCAGCGCTCCTCCTCCGCCGCGAATGCTGTGCAGGCCCCCGGCACTCCGAGCCTGCTTGGAGAACCGGAGATGGAATTTGCTCCGGGCTGGCATGAAACGGCATCCGCCAGCTGAGCCCCATCAGTGGTGGCGAAGGTCCGGGAGAAAATGGTGTCCACGTCACGTTCATGGTCCTGGATTTGGTAGAGCGTGGAGATCCTCTTCTCCAGCTCTACAACTTTCTGGCTCAGCCTCACACAGCCGACACACCCAGGGCTGCAGGTGAGAGGCATGAGGCAGGTGAAAGTAGACAGCAGGTAAAAACACACAGCAGTCGAGCTCCAAAAAGTTATTTAAAAAGTAAAAAATAAAATAAAAAGCTCACAGTGGTAGACAAAAATAAATAAATAAACGGTTAAAACCGAAAAAGGATTAAAACCAGTTAAAAACCAGTTAAAACCGCCAGACTTGACAGGTAGTAGTGTGGGATCATTGATCCCATCGACTAATCTCACAGCTGAAACAAAGCCTTCTTAATAATCTGAAGCTGTAACAACGCTGTAAAACACAAGATATAATCATTTCTCATTAATAAAATGTTGTTGCAGCACTGAAGCAGCAGAAAAATGAGATTTTGCAATAAATATGTAAAACATTTACATTGTTTTTGAGCCATTTTGTTGGCAGAGTCTGATATTCACTTTAGCTATGAGCTAGGTGTTCTGATAGAACACCGGGAAAATGTGTAGCGTTGTCATATATATGTAACAGTGATATTGACAGGCAGGATTTATTCTGGGGTTGGGGGGGGGGGGGGGGGGGGGGCACTGGGGTTTGCGTGCGGACCGGTTCTCCTCCGATCGTCAGAGCGGGGCGAGGGGTGTTGATTCTTGTGAGATATTGGAGGTGTGGAATGACAGCATTTGAAGATGGTCAAATGTGCGTGTTGGCAGCCCTGGAGTGGTTGATTCCATGCTGCTTTTGAGAATATGACCTTCATCTCACTGCTTTAGACCTCCACCAGTACCAGAGTGGATATTCTGACAAAATCACTTGTGCATTGATGATAAAAACCACGCGTCCTGTCTACAAAGATGCACGTAATGGCCAGCTCAGCACGTGCGTTAGGCCACTGTGTGTAACAAACTTGGTAGTCCAGTGGTTAGAGCTACTGATTGGCATGTTGTTTTGCACCGGTTCGACTCCCGGTCTAAACGGTGACTTTCTTCTTTTTTAGCTACACTTGCCGGTGTCGGTACAAGATCTGCTCGGGTGCAAGATCGGCTCGGGTCCGTCGACTGCCGATGACGTCTAAGTAGTTGATTGGCTGAACATGAACCTTACGGAATTACGTAATCACGTAACGTTGTTATCACGTGACGTTGGTCCAGGCAAATTTTTTCTATTGGAAAGATGGACAACTTTTACAAAGAAATCCATCATTACCTCTTTGAAAATACACTTTTAGCATAGAGCTGCAAGTATATTAGGGCTGAACGATTAACTGCATATGCAATTAAATTGCGATGTGACAAAAGGAGATTTTCTAATTGCAAAGGCTGCAATTTGGCAGCGAGTGGTTAGCGCAATGCTAATATACATGGAAAAACCCATAGGAATGCTAATGCTAATATCGCCGATTACATTATTACAAATTATGAATTAGAAACGTGCCAAATGATTACATTTGGAGTCTAATAGAAAGTAAAACTACCATCAATCAAATAAGTACAGACAGGTATTTTAGTAAAGCCAGAAAACTGTTAACTCCAGAGCTTTGGCTAGCAGCTATGAGCGTAACTACGCATGGACAAGACGTCAAAAACTCTAAACACAAATACTTCAATAAACGGGACACACTTCTTTCCTGCAAATACAATTTCACAGGTGTTGCTAATACCTATGATCCTTCAAGGGATGTGCTCAAAGAGGAGTTCAACATGAATCAAATACAGTGTTTTATTTTACAAATACTATTATAAACACAAACTTACGTCTTAAGAAACATTATTTTAATAACGAAACTGCTAAATTCTTTCCAACAGTATAGATGTGTAGTGTATTTTGTCCGAGTGGGTTTGCCGTACTTTGACGTCATCTGCAGTCGAAGGACCCCGAGCCGATCTTGCACCCGAGCAGATACTGTACCGACACCGGTGTTAGGTTTTTAACCCTTTGTTGTAAACTGTACAACGCCTGTTGTACCGCTCTGTCGTGGTGAAAAGAGAGCTGTGTACCTAATAAAGTGGCAGGAGTTGCTTCTCCACCAGATTCTTAAAATACCTGAAGCTACACAAACAGCAAGGCTTTCATATTCAGCTGTGAACCGCACAGGCGTGTTCCAGCGAAGCCACATCAGGACTAAATGTGACAGAATCAACAACAGTTATGGGATGGCTGTTCATGGTTCACAGCAGCGCCCCCTATCAGCTCAAGATGTTCACAGTAGTGATGTGTCGGTCGCGAACGAACCGGCTCTAAGAGCCGGCTCTTTGAAGTGAACGATGGGAGCCGGCTCGTCATTGGGAGCCGTCCCCTCCCCTCCCCCCTCCCCTTTTGCTTTGGTGAAAGCCACAGGCGATTGGTCAACATGTGTAACTGCGTGTCCAGACTGTCCACACACAGAGCAGTAGGGGTGGGGAAGAGGGAGGATCAGACTCAGACACACAGCAGAGCACATGCGGGCGGAGGGAGACGAGAGGGAATGAGGAGGAGGAAAAAGGCGAGAGAGAGAGAGAGAGAGAGAGAGAGAGAGAGAGAGAGAGAGAGAGAGAGAGAGAGAGAGAGAGAGTAGAGGTGTGAATCTTCACTTGTCTCCCGATTCGATTACGATTATTGGGTCAACGATTCAATTCGATTCGATATACCGATGCATCACGATGCATCACGATTATTTCATATTGATTTGTTTTCATTGATAAATAGAAGATGTCAGATAACTGCTTTTTATTTTTTTTTATCTAAAACGTAATTGACACAACCTGCCATCCCTCAAAAGCTCTCCATTCACAACAGGTTAGGACAAAACATTTTAAACATTTAAGAAGATTTAACAAAGTAAAACATCTGTTTCCTGGTTCAACACCACGCCTCAGGCTGAGAAAAACACGCTTTGCAAAAACTCACAAAATCTAAAAAAGTACTGAAAACCTACAGGACACATAATGTAATAATAAAATCCATAATGTGTTCATACATGAGTGTTTAATGTCTCTGAGCAGCTCTAGAGTCAAATATTTATGCCACAGTTCAAGGAAGTCAGAAATAACACCAAATGAAATGTTTGACTTAATTTATTTTATTTGAACCCAGTGGTTCGTTTCTGAAATGTTGGAGAATGAATCAAGTTCTGTTTGATGCAGAAAATAATAAAACACAAAACAAATTCTACACTTCCAATAATATTTAAGATGTGTGTTTTATTCTTTCTGATAATAACACCAGCAGAAGGCTGTGGGCTGGATTAGGATTAAATTACCCAGCTGATGGATCTCCTTCACTAACCAGCTAACTACAAACCTTTCCACTAACCTGTCCTGTGTCACCCTCACCATGTGACCCTCGTGTCCATGCTGTCTCTGGAGGAGCAGATAGGAGACAAGATCTCCTGTAACTTAAAATGAACCAAAGCTTCCTCCCAGTTTCTCTTTAAGATGAGTTTAACATCAGTTTATCTTCATGACACAAAATAATAAAGTGGAACAAGAACTTCTATTTCTCTCTCCTTTTAACTTCTCCGTGTCCCTAAATAAAAGAGACAGACGATCACGCTGCAGCCACTGTCACTGACCCCGCCCCCTCCCCAAGACCGGCTCTCCCTACATTACAACAAGCAGTCTGACTGAGCACTTCCAGGAGAAATAATAATTAAATTATGAAAATAATAACGCGTGTTTGGAGGAGCGTCCTCCGATCGTCTCTCTGAGCAGACAGTGTCTCTCTCTCTCTCTCTCTCTGTCGCTGATCGAGCGAGCGGAGCGCGCCGCACGACAACCGCTCAATTAACATAATTCACGGCCCAAATCCAACAGAACCGGTCGGGCTGATTCGGTTCCGGTTTGGTCTCGGGTGACAACTCTAGCGCTCAGCCCTGCAGTACCACATTAAGGCGGAGGTAAATGTGGAGGACGCTCACTCTGACAGATTTGGATCTGCGCTGGTGCCGCCATTAAAAAAACAAAACTACATTCCACTATAATCGATTATGGCGTACTCTTCTACGATGCAGAATCGTTTATGTCTGCATCCCGATGCATCGATTATTTGATTATTTTCCTCAGCTCTAAGAGAGAGAGAGAGAGAGAGAGAGAGAGAGAGAGGAGTGTGACGAAGACGGTGAGAAAATGAGCGCCAGCAGTCGGAAAGTGGAGATTTCTGAAAGTGTTCAGTTATTAAATGCATAGAAATGATAAATATTTGATATATAGCATTTTTTTACATTAGTAAATCATTTTACACATAGTTTTGCATTATTTTGGTTATAAATGTACTCTACGCAACAGAAAATCTGAGGAGCCACTTGGGAGCCGAAAGAGCCGGCTCTTTTTGGTGAGCTGAGCCAAAAGAACCGGCTCTCTAAAAAGAGCCAGAATTCCCATCACTAGTTCACAGTACACCTAGCAGAAAGGCTTTGTGACCAGTACACGACTCAGAATCAGTCAGAATGCTTTTAATGAGTTCCTATTTGTTCTCATGTAAACGACGTTTCTGAATGCACCGGCTGATGATGCGGCTTTGTTCATCCACAGGTACAGATAGGATGTCAAACAGACCGGCTACATGCTGAAGAACTGAGGAGACCGCCACGTGTTCATGAGCGATTTCCTGTTGACTCAGAGATAATACAGGTGTGGAACCTATGGGGAGGACTCGTGTACCTGGTGGCTCCACCCAAAGTACAGGTGTCTGGGTTGAAGGTCACGGTGCAGATGGGTGTTCCCGCACCCTATTATAAATCAGGTGTGTTTACAGAAATGTGTGTGTTTGTTTTTACGTTGTTCATTCAAAACAATATTCTGGGTATTTAAGGAGTGGAATTATCTTAGCTTTCCTTTACGTAAAGTTTTCTGTTCTTTTCCCAAGAGAAGACTGGAGTAGTTCAGTTTTGCAAAACTATATTTAAGTTTTATCACTCTTTTCAAAAGCATGGGTATTCAGAAGAGATGTAAAAGTAGGCAATGAGGAGGCCATCCTAACATCCACGTTCCAGACAGAAAAGGCCCTGCCCTCCATAAGCTTGTGCTTCGTTCTCGGAACGGGAGCCACTGATGTGCTGACCTCAGGGACCGAGATGGGGAATCAAAAGCTCAGGAAGTTAACTCAGGATAAAACCATGCGATTGTTTAAAAGCCAGTAAAACCACTTTATACAGGATCCCAAAATGAACAGCGAGACCAAAACCGCAGTAATGGGATCTCTTCCTGGAGCCAGATAAAAGACACGCAGCTGTGTTCTGCCACAGTTGGAGACTAGAGAGTTGAGACCGGGAAGCACCAAGGAACAGAGAATTACAGGAGTCAAGACGTGACGTAATAAAAGCACCTTGTTTTAAACAAACACTGCCGTGGAGATTCTTCTCTTATAAAATCCAGATTTGACCACAGCACTGGACACTGTCCAGAGCTAATACCCTCGGGTTGGCCTGGGGCTGGACATATGGCCTAAAAACCATATCATGAGGATTTCACCTCGATAACTACAAATTACTACAGGTGTGCACGGAAACAAAAGTTGTCCACTAGATATGCTAAACAGCATCAGCGAGCTAGTCTTACCTCAAAAGAGGTCAATTCTAAAATGAGGCACTTTGTTGTTGTTTCATGAGACAAACATGTTTGTTTCTTGCAGCTGATTTGAAGGATATGTCTAACATGCGGGTTGTTTTTTGTAACCTATCTGATAAGGTTCCTATTTTTCCTTTTTTACAAACATGAGAAGAACAATTTCAGCTGTTAACTTTATTTTCTCTCTAAGTGTTTTTCTCCCCAGAAGAAGCTACAACGATGTTCTGCTGAGCTGTGGTGGCCTCATGGAGGGGGCCATCGACTAGCACACTGCTGCTAACCACTAAAACATTCTCCCTCTCCTGATAATAACTTTTTGTTTTCATTGACGTTGGATGTGCTACTACTAGTTTACCCGTTTAATTATAGATCCACTAGGATACATACAATAAAGTTTATCTTTCACCAAATACAATATTTACTAAGACATCACAATGTAACTATAGACACATTACGTGTGTGTGTGTGTGTGTGTGTGTGTGTGTGTGTGTGTGTGTGTGTGTGTGTGTGTGTGTGTGTGTGTGTGTGTGTGTGTGTGTGTGTGTGTGTGTGTGTGTGTGCTCTGTCTTCTCGATCCCCAGTGAGTCGTGGAGGATGGCTGCTTATACTGAGCCAGGATTCTCTGGAGGTTTCTTCCTGTTAAAAGGGAGTTTTCCTCTCCACTGTCGCTGCATGCTTGCTTAGTATGAGGATTGCTGTAAAGACTCTGACACTAGTCAGTGACTTGATGCAATTTGCTGGGTGCCTTATATAGGAAACATTATTTCTGATTGGCTTAATGAACTGACCTGAATTGGAATGTTTATTATGTGAAGTGCCTTGAGACGACTCTTGTCGTGATTTGGCGCTTTATAAATAAACTTGAATTGAATTGAAACTTCAATTGAACTGATAGGAGCTGCATAGTTTCTTCTCAGAAATGTTCACAGATGTGTTCATAAAAGTTTTTGGGGGGGGGTGTCAAACATTTGCCAGGAGATCTGTGTGGTAATTATTTGCTTATTCGCTGACCCGTCTCACCCTGGACACAGTCTCTGTGACTCGCTACCATATGGCAGGAGGCTCAGATCCATTTGGACCAGAACCCTCTGCAGTTGGACTCCTGAATGTCAGGCGAATAACTGCCCACTCCAGCTGCTTGTTTCAGTCTCCTGACCCAGTATTGTGCTTGCACCTAAATTGATCCGCTCTGACCAGCACCTACACTAACGTGTCCTCTAATTATTGCCTCCCTGTATGATTATCATTTCATTGTGTTTATTTCTTAATTCTAAGTTTTGCATATCATTCCTTTTTTTCTTGCAGCGATTTCCTGGTGTGATTTCTCACACATATGGCACCAACACCTTCTGGCTCTGATTGGTTCTGAATGCACCTATCCATGTGGGTCTTTTAGGTGTGACAACGGCAGAGCAGTGGATGTTGCTGCGCACGGCTCCTGCACCGTGGGCAGAGATGGAGTTTGACAACATTGTCCTCACTGTGCCGTCAGATGACGTCCGAAACCTGGAGCGCCCTGATGAAGTAGCAGCCCTGTGGAATGACATCATGAGGGGCATTGCTGACTTGGCTGCAATTCCACACAAATTCCAACGCAAGGAGCGATTTGTAGCTGAGGTGCAGATTTCCCATGGTGGGTGGAAATACTTCTTACTTCATTATTGTCTCAGTGAGTGCTGTACTACTGCGGGGTTTTATTATATCCTGTCTGTCCAGGCTGGATGCATGCAGGTTATCCCATCATGGCACACAAGTCCTCTGCAGCAGCGCTGCTCAATGTTAACACTGCTAGAACTGAAGGCATCTGGGGTGCGATCCATGAGCTTGGGCACAACCAACAGAGAGGCTGCTGGGAGTTCCCGTCACACACTACAGAGTGTACCTGCAACCTGTGGTCCGTGTATGTGCATGAAGAGGTGCTGGGCATCGACAGGGCAAAGGTTCAAAATGCTACTCTAATCATTTTCTCCCAAGGAAAGAAAAGGAACCCAGTTGTAAAGGCAGTTAGGACAGAGGAGAGGGTGTCAAAAATAAAGAAAAATGGTTCCACATAAAATTGAAAATGATAAATCTTAGAGCAACAGGCTGTCATTTACAGTTTATATTGCAGTGAAAATTACTGTATGCATGCTCTGTTTGAAGTTAGTTTTGTAATTTGGAAATGCCGTCTTGAGTGCAGCCTCTCAGTCAGTTTGGTTACCTTGGCAACGTGCGTATGTTCGGGGAGTAGAGAAGTTTCTACGGGTTCTCGTAGTCGTCATTAATAGGATGTGGACTGAAATCAGATCACTCCACAAAGGGTCACAGCATAGCTCCAGAAAGATGTCCCCCAGGAGTCAGATCAGCACTCTCAACTTGCAGTTCCCAGCCAGATATAAATGATGTCACATTGACAAAGTTTTATTTTGGTGAACGCAGGCTCATCCGGCTATGTGTCTGGAAGAACGACACAGTCGAGCAAGGCAGTATGTGCAAGGAGGCAGGAACCTGAATGGCTGGGACATGTGGGTGGCCCTGGAGACGTATATGCAGGTAAGAGCAGGGAGACCTTGGAAGGGGCGGGTGCTCAAAGTTAAAAAAGACACGTATAAAACAAGATTTTTAAACAGATTCACAATCCAACAAGTTTCTGAAGATTCTGAAAATGAGATCATTGTGTTCAAACCAAAGGGACAAAAGGCCTCTAGGTGCTCTGACTGTAGGAATGAGTTCCTCTAACTTTCTCTGACTTTCACATTCACTTCAGAAGTCTCTCTTGTCCTCATTTCTGTCTTAAGCCTGATTCATGCTTCTCCGTCAGCTCCGCAAGGGACAGACACGCACGGATTGACGGAAGCGTTTTGCTCTCATACTTCTCCGTCTCCTGGGGAGTTTTGCAAAGCAATTCCCCACCAGGGCAGCAGAGGGCGTAGCGCTGTTCTGTGGTATCCTGTCATGTATCCAGTCCAAGATCGTGTGTTTATATTGTGTTTTTTGTGTATATAAGAGACTTTTTAACACAGACAAATTTGTCTCTCATCCTCCTCCACCTCTTCATGCGCTCGCCACCTCTAAACCCACGTTTCCTGTCATTTCCGTCCACAAAACTCTTGCTGCGTATTTTTTCACTCCTCCAGTCACGGGGAATTTAACGTTCATGTTTTTAGAGTTTGTTTCGCGAGGTATTCTTCAAGCTGCTCCATGTCTGCCGCTAATTATCCTCGGCTCTCTCTATGTTTTTGAGGGCGCAATGGCGGCGGTGTAGACGACAGCGGCATCCTGACCAATCACAAGCTTGCATTGTCCGTCTCGACTGACGGATGTTTAGAAAAGAGAGCTCGACTCCGTCCGTCCTTGCGGAGCTCTCCAGCAGGCCCGCAAGGAAGTTGCGTGTCTCCACACTGACGCAGACGGAGAAGCATGAATCAGGCCTTAGACATGCAGCTACCTGACTCTACTCCTTCTTACTACACACACACACACACACACACACACCACTAAATGTTAATGTGAACAAATTAAAAGTTATCCAGCTGACGCATTGCAGGCAGAATAAAAACTTACAAGTAAATGAACGTGGACTTCAGCCGACAAGCAAAATACCTCAGTCATCTCCACGGCTGCGAGTTGGAGTGACAGTGAGGACAGCCAGTCATGTTAGCATGACACTGCAGAGCCAATCAATGAGCTTGTGGGTGGGCCTAAAGGAAAATAGGCTTTAGCTTGAAGCGGCTGTCTTCCACATGAATACCTGACCTGTATCCATGTATGACAGTTTTGGACAGTAAAAACTGACAGTAAAAAGGGCATTTTAGAAGAAGAAGAAGAAAATATCATTTCTATAGCGCCTCTCAAGATAAAAATCACGAGGCGCTTCACAAAAACCAAAAATGTAAAAATATAAAAAATAATTTAGAAAATGTTTAAAAATATATTTAAAATGAGCAAAAATAGACAATTGTGATTAAAAAAATGTTACGAAAGAGAGAGAGTGAACAGGAAAGAGGGAAACCAGTGGATCCTGAGGAAGGTGGAATAGGTGGGGAGAGCAGAATAAAGAGAGAGAGGTGAAGAAGGTCATACAAAAGCCAGCTTGAACAAGTGAGTCTTCAGCTGCTTTTTAAAGGAGACCACTGAGTCCACTGATCTCAGGCTCAGGGGGAGAGAGGTCCAGAGTCTGGGGGCCAGCAGCAGATGATCTGTCACCTTTGGTGTTTAGCCTGGTGCTGCACAACCAGTAGGCTTTGATCACTGGACCTCAGGGACCTGCTGGGGGGTGTAGGGACTAAGAAGATCACCAATGTAAGATGGTGCTTGTCCATGTAAGGCCCTATAGACCAGAACCAGGATCTTGAAATGAACCCTGAAGTTGACTGGCAGCCAGTGAAGCTGGAGGAGAAGCGGGGTGATGTGGGTGTTTTTGTAATTTTAGGCACTTGGGAAAAGGTTAAGGTACTCAAAAACCTTCTGCCCCACCCTGTGCACATGCCTGGGTAAGCACATTAGCGTTGTAACTCTTTAAAAACTCTTTTAAAAAAATAAACAAAATTCAAATAGATAACTACTGTAAAACATTTGTTAGGGCTTTTCCTTTCTAACATAATAATCGCATAGGAACGAGTATTGCCTTTTTTAGCTTTGCAAAGGGGGGGAGAGCAATGGAGAAGTTAAACAGGATCCAGTCGTGACTCCACTCCAGTGCCCACCTCCAAAGTTCTCCCCTGCGTGGCTCGTTTATATTAAGCTCGGTAACACATGGGAGTGGTTACACATTACAATAATGTGGTGTGGTAAGACTGGGTTCAATCAGCTGCAACGTGACTTGGAACTGAAACATAATGTTCCAGACACGAAACTGTGGAAGACTGTGTGTATATATGGGTGAATCGTCAGCATGAATGTGGGTGAATCGTCAAAATGCAGAACAAACATCATGTACTCAGAGCTGCCAACGCTCACGCACTGAGCGTGAGACACACACATTTGACCCTCTTCACACGCTCTCACGCCACACCTCCAATGTCTCACGCTAAACCAGCGCCTGCGCTCCCCAAACGCGCATCACGCACAGTGTGTAGGTCTTATGAAAAAAGCTGATGATATTAATGATGGCATTAGCTACTTAACAACTTACACACAAACAACACATACGTAATAATTTAACTGGCATTATTTCACACATAATCCCATCTGTATAATCCAAGCGGATGTGATTTTTTCTGCTCAGGTTGTGAGATGGGCGGAGTGGTGAGCTCCACCTGCTGTTGATGGGACGGGCATGCCCGGTTCTTCCAGAACCGTGAGCTGCGGCTGCGCACTGCCATAATGCCATGCTTTATTTAGAAATGCAGCCGGTGTTGACGGATCTTCAGTCCCGAATGTTTTTCTTTAGTTTTCACTCATCAGCCACAGATCGCTGCTCTCGCTCACGGCAAGCTGGGCTTCCTACCCTTGTGGCTCACTCACATGTTCCCTCTTAGGGCTGGGCGATACGGCCTCAAATCTATATTGCAATATAATCTGAAGCATGTGCGGTAATGATATATATTGCAATATATTTTTTCCTCTGTTTATATATGTCAAAATGACATGCTTTTAAATATCTTCGTGTGGCAAATAAATGCCACATGAGGCATATAGGCCTCCTCCTCCACCATGTTTGCAGTGACTGCCATTCTGTTGTCCCAGTGTCAGCAGGGTGCACATCTTAGTGACGTTGTGTGTTATCGCAATATCGCGGTATTGCGATATAGCCAAAAACACTATCATTACCCAATTTTATATTGTTTCTACCTTATATTGTTTATATTGCCCACCCATTCCCTCTCTTACGTTAGTTTGTGACGTGGATTCCTACAGTTTTAATTCCCTGCTTCACCAGTGTGTTTTTCCTGTTTGTGAGACGAACCCCTCCTCCATAACCAGGTTACTGGTACGGAAGCCTGGAAAGGCCAAAATTCCTCAAACGTTTTTTTTTTTCCTACTGGTGGATATTTAATGTAATAGAATAGAGTAAATGTTATTAGTCCCACAGTGGGGACATCCACTCATTACAGCAGCACACACACTTGGAGACACAGATTACAGTAAAACTGATTCCAGCCATGTTTGCTTTGATAACTTCCATAACTTCATGCTGATGACCACATGAACATAATCCTGTTTAGTGGATGCAACTACATCAAAGAAGTTAGCTTAACACGATAGATAGTTTTTCTTGGCAGGAAATAATAACTGGTAATATTATGAATGACATGATGTTTCCCACCCCTAGATGGAATTTAAAACATTTGCATTAATTATAATTAAAAATTCCTGTTACTCTTTACTGCAGACAGACGGACAGACAGACAGTCTGTAGTGTGAAGAAGTTCAGGAGAGTTGAATGTAAAGTCAGAGGTACGGAAGAGGATTAGGGCCACTGAAAAGAAAAAAAAGAAGAAAAGAGAATTCAGACTTTTTCCCCATAATTCCCTGTCAGAATTCCGAGGTTAAAAGTCAGAATTCTGAGAAAAAAGTAACAGTTCTCTTTCTTTTCTTTTTTCCCCCATTGTCAGTGGCTCTAATCCTCTTCCGTACAGAGTAGAAATAAATAAATAAAGTCAATATTAATACCCCCCCCCCCCCCCTACACAGTCGGTGAATTGTCCGCTCCCAACCCCGTGACCCCGTCTCACTCTTTGAAATGTTCAAAAGTTGGCAGCCCTCCATACATGGTCACACATACAGGTGCTGGCCAGTAAATTAGAATATCATCAAAAGGTTGAAAATATTTCAGTAATTCCATTCAAAACGTGAAACTTGTACATTATATTCATGCAATGCACACAGACCAATGTATTTCCAATGTTCATTACATTTAATTTTGATATTTATAGGTGACAACCAATGAAAACATCAAATCTGGTATCTCAGAAAATTAGAATATTCCAAAGGCCAATGAAAAAATGTTTGTTTCTCTAATGTTGGCCAACTGAAAAGAATGAACATGAAAAGAATGTGCATGTATAGCACTCAATACTTAGTCGGGGCTCCTTTTGCCTCAATAACTGCAGTAATGCGGCGTGGCATGGACTCGATCAGTCTGTGGCACTGCTCAGGTGTTATGAGAGCCCAGGTTGCTCTGATAGTCGTCTTCAGCTCCTCTGCATTGTTGGGTCTAGCGTATTGCATCCTCCGCTTCACAATACCCCATAGATTTTCTATGGGGTTAAGGTCAGGCGAGTTTGCTGGCCAATCAAGGACAGGGATACCATGGTCCTTGAACCAGGTGCTGGTGGTTTTGGCACTGTGTGCAGGTGCCAAGTCCTGTTGAAAGGTGAAGTCTGCATCCCCATAAAGTTGGTCAGCAGCAGGAAGCATGAAGTGCTCTAAAACTTCCTGGTAGACGGCTGCATTGACCCTGGACCTCAGGAAACAGAGTGGGCCAACACCGGCAGATGACATGGCACCCCACACCATCACTGACGGTGGAAACTTTACACTGGACCTCATGCAACGTGGATTCTGTGCTTCTCCGCTCTTCCTCCAGACTCTGGGTCCTTGATTTCCAA